CCATTGCCACTTAAGTTTACTAAAGTGTTCATACAACCAAGCTGTTACTACCCTGGCCATATGTAAACGGGCATTATCGTGCATAAGCAGGAAACACCCATTTATGTTCGGTGTGGCAAGACTATTGGTTCTAGCACCTCATTACGGTATTTTTCAGCCGTCATAGCGCCCTGTATTTACGAGGTCAGTTCTTCCACCAAAACGAATTCCTGCCCACACCGCAATTGTGCCACCTTCGTATGAATGAACTTCTTGAGGGTGTTGAAGCCGGCTGTACAACCAGGAACTCTCCAGACAAGTACTCTTCCCGAATTCGCTCCCTCTAGTTCAACTCAATTTTTACCGCCAACACATTTTATTTTTTCTTTTATTTAAATTTGGAATCAATCTGGAATAAATGACGAACAATTTGATATCAAGAACATTTTAAAGTGTTCAGTACTTTTTTAGTTAGGAATACCTTAAAGCCAGTAAATAATATACTGCTCTATAACTCTCTATACCTTTCAAAGGGAACACAGTAGTGCAAGCACTGCTATTTGGTGGCAGAAATATATAAAACAGTGGTACATACTCGGACAAACTCTTAGGTAGAAAAGGAGTCTCTACCACTCAGTAAAATATCGAAACCTACCACCAACTTCACGTAAAGAAGGAATTGTCTATGGGCCACAGTATCCATTAAACAAGAGAATATTAATACGATAACGCTGAAGTAGTAATTAGATTAATATAAGCTATCGCAAACATAAAATTAGTTTATTAGCCAAGCTTAAGTATTCATATATTAAAATCACAATGATTTTTGTATGTTTGTTTAGATTATTAGCATTCAATTTCAAATATCGTGAGTATTGTCATGGTATTTGAAATTGAATGCTAAAAATATATTTGTTATGTTTTGCCTAACCGATTTGATTATAATTCTATCAAAGGAAGAAAGAAAGAAAGAAAGGATACGAAACTTGACAAATATCAAACACACAACTTGATAAAGAAAGAAAAAGAAAATCGTGCATTAATGAAAGTATAATTAATAATTGTGTGATGTCAAAAAGGATCCTGCTAATATGTAGGATACCACAGCACTGGCTTTCAGTCGGGACAATGAGTCATTTATCTTTTCGAAAAATAAGTAACCCTATCGTATCCCTAAAATTGTATTGAAATTGAACAGTGCCCCTGGTGGACGTAAATGGAACTATGTTTTGTAATAAAAAGTCACTCGATTGTGGTACGAATTCGATACATTAGAGAACATTCATGCTCAACACTGCCGACAAGCTCAAGGTTGCCGAAATTTTTGATTTAAAAAGTTTTGATTTAATTTCAGCATTACTTAAAAACGATAATGGGCCTATACTAACGATAAGTGCCCCCAAGATATACAGGGGAAAATCCTAGTGTGAAGGTGTTAAAATAAAAAATAAAAAATATAAAAAAAAATTGCGTGTTTTTTATAAGGGTGACAAATGATCACACAGTCCACCTGATGGTAAGTGGATGCTGTAGCCCATAAGTACCTAAATTTATCCTCGATTAACATTCAAAAATGCAGATGCGTTAACACCCCTAAGGACTAAGATGGAATTCCTCGTTGCTAGTACAGGGGTCTACGGTTCTCTACACTCATTATATGGATTATGGCATTATTATGCTTTTTTACGTTGGTATTCTGTGAGAGTGTGGTCCTTCCCCGGCCGAACCGACCTATTTTTGTTGCAACATAATATTGTTGCAGCGTGGCAGCATACCATATAAAATCCATCCTAATTTTTTGGACAAAATCATTACAAAATTCTCCTAGCGCGTTCAATTTAGGGAAAATCGCGTGCAAACGTAAAGAGTTTAATCCATAATCGTATTATATAAATTAAAATTTTATATTTTATTACGGGCTTTGTAATTCGGTAACTGTTGTGTAAAATTGATAATTGATAAAAACTATAAATGTTCTTTATCACAGCAAATCCAAAGGTGTTTGAAGATTTTTGGCACTAAGAATGGCTGTCCTTAAGCCTTACATCGTGCTCCTTTTTACAGGTAAAAATATAATTTTCACTCCTTTTTTAAAAAAGTATGTATTTTTTGTTCAAAGCATAAGGGTGGTAAACGAGCCCCTGATGGAATACACCATACGAAACACAGCAGGATTAAGCTGCTATTTTACGCTGGTATTCTGTGAGAGCGTGGTCCTTCCCCGGTCGAGCCGACCCATTCGTGCTTCAACTATACAATTAGTATAGCTGTAGCATGGCTCTACCACGTAAAGATAAAACTCTTTTAATTGAATGAGAATTTTCAAATATTACGGATCAAAGGATTAGTAAGCTGAGATGGCAATGGGCCGGCCATATAGCTTAACGAACCGACAACTAATAAAGAAGAATATTTCTCCAAACCCGTACCGGTAAACTAAGTGTAGGGCGACCCTCCACTAAATGGACATTGACAAACATACATAGCAAAACACTTAGATTCAGTCAGGAACATTTGCTAGCACACTAGGCATTTGAGGTGTGCACTAATTTAATGTACTCCCCTCTTAGAATATTTCTTTTTCACTGTAATTCTACATGTTAAGAAAAAAATACAATCGACGGTGGCTGTGACAGACAAATGTTTTCGGCACTTTGTCTTACACATCTCTGCAGTTGGATAGGTTTCGTACTCTGGTTTCTATGCTCGGATAACCATCGTAGCCATACTGTACAAACACTTCAGCACTACGATGTACGGACAGTGCCAGCCCCGTTGCAAATTTAAAAATACATTATGTATTAAAAATCTTAATTCGATAAATATACCGTAACTGATATTGTACGTTCATAATAGTAAATGATAAAATCATATTAATAGCGGACCGTGCTGAAAAATTTTCCTTGACATTATAACGAAATAAGACAATCCTACATCCAAGATCTAACATAAATAAATCATATTTGACAAATTATATATATTATGTAACGTTATACGCTAATAATATTTGAACAATTTGTCACCTTTGAGCACGGCCACCTTTAGATGCTTAAATCTATTTTCATGTAACATATTATATGACTAAAAAAATAAAGTTTCGTAATTAAATTTAAGAGTTATTTCTTTCAACAAAAGTTGCATTTTAAGAGTCAAAAATAACCTACATTATAACTGATAGAGTGGTCATTATTAAGTGGCGAAGCTTGCGAAGTCACTTATTGATTTCACGATGTCAGTCCGTCTGTCCGTCTGTCCCACGATTATGTCGAGAACGGTTTTGAATTTTCAAATTCTGTTTTCAGCAATCGATTACTGATCACCCAGGCATCTGAACCTCCTATTTTGAAACTGATTGCTCAACGGCAACCGTTAGAAACCGCTACAAAGCTGATTGCTTCGCCACTTTGCTATGCTGTTAGCTTGCTAGGTCTATTTCACATGCATATTGCCAGAGACATTGTAGATTGGGTCTAAAACTACTGCATAACCAAATACATGTTTAATTGTATCAAATGTTTGCAACTTTATTATGACGCCTCTCCACCAAAGTTTTGTTGTCAACACATGTTGCCAACAAATGTTTCAGTAATCACCTAGTTTTAGCAACAAAACGAAACAATGTCGGGAATCGTTTTTCCATTTTCGGCGGCAACATCAAAGGAATATGCTTGTTGCCGACATTTGTTCCCTCGGTGGAGACGATAGGGTGCATCATGATTATTAGGCAATAGGCATTCTATTTTGAGAACAAGCGTCGAATTGGATTTTAACAGTGGTAGAGCCACGCGGCAGCTTTCGCTGTCGCACGGATGGGCCGGCTCGAACCGGGGTGGTACCACGACCTCACAGAATACCAGCGTGACGTAGAGTTTTACCTCTGCGTTTCGCTTGGTAAGTGCAGGTGGCCGGAGGCCCTTTTTACTGGAAATGAGGCATTCCATCATGGTCCTCACGGGTGGCAACGCATCTGCATTTTGATTTATAATAGGGGATAGATGTAGATGTCTATGGGCCGCAGTAATCACTTACCGTCAGGTGGACTGTGTGCTCGTTTGTCACCCTTATCCTATAAAAAAAAAGAATTAGTCAAAGTGTAATTAAGTGTCGTGAATACAAAAACAGTAACATTTAATGTTCTGTACAGATATTAATTGAATACACATATTGTGTTAATAGTGCATATTTATTTATAATAAACTACTTCCTTGTTTTAACACAAACAAAATTAAAATAAGAAAAAACAAATAAGCTCTGTTTTTAACCCAATCTAAATGTGTCTCGGCTCGTGGAATAATGGTCAGATTTAATGTAGGTTATTTTCAATTCGATTTACCTTTTGAAATACAAATGCAGCAGACAAGGAAATTTTTTAAAGTATTATTGTTGTCTTAAACTTAACAAAGAAACTTGAATTTAAGTAATCATATAAATAATTATACTAATATCACACAAATAATAATAATTAACTATAAAACTAAAGATCTAACCACCATAATTCTCCTCCGCGAAGACTCTCCATTATTTGGGTGTGGACGACAACTTAGTCTTTTGTTACCATCAAACTAGTTTTTGGAACGAAGTTCTTTATCGGACGGTACGGATTTGGCGGATTAGGTGACAAAAAATGTAAGATTTTTCCGTCACGATCCCTTCTGACGTAGTGTAGACGGCCTTGGCGGCTATAAGGAAGCGATATGCAATAATATCCATCTCCCTCGCACTTTTATTATCTTGCCATGAATGAAATATTATTTTATTTTAAATGACGCTGTATTTTAATTAATTAATAATATAATACGTTTATAAATAATAATATACTACGAAAGGAACTTCGTTCCAACCGAGTGTTCCACGACACACACGTGTTTTTTTTAACATAAAACTGAAATGACTTAAGCAGGCCATATACGCTAGAGTGTACCTGACAGGTTTGCCTGTACCGTTCAACTATACATGTAAACTTGAGCTGAGTAGAGACCATACACATAGCGGTAAAACTGTACAAACTCTCAGTTGAAACCATGACACCGGCAACGGCGCTTGACACAGTAGCGTTAGTAGGTTTATTGTTTGTTTCATTAAAGAAAAGAAAATTTAAACGAAGACACCGTGAACAGTGTTGCAAAGCATGGTTACTGCAAAGAAAACAGTACTCTCATGTCAAGTTATTGAAACAATTGAAATTGGAGCCGAAAAATTACCGCAATTATCTACGAATGGATGAAAAAACGTATCTTAAACTGTTATCAGCGGTGACTCTCTTAATTGAGAAGCAGGGTACAATAATGAGAAAAGCTATATCGCTTCATGAAAGACTGACATTGACGTTAAAATACCTTGCAACAGGGAGAACATACGAGTGTTTTTCCTCTCTAGCAATGACAGGACAACTGACGCCTGCGCAGGCGACCGCCACACACGCTCAGGTTTACTTGCACAGTTAAACTGCACAGGTATATCGACAGGCAAAAAATATCAAAATTCATATGTTTTCGACCTGCCTGTACAGGTGTGGAAACCTGCACAGTTGTGCGACATACACGCTCCTGTTTACCTGTACAGTTCAACTGTCAGGTACACCCTAGCGTGTATGGCCTGCTTTACGAACTTACAGTCCACCTCATGGTAAATGGCTTCTACAGTCCATGGATACCTGCAGCCAACATCAAACGAAGAAGGTCACAGATGCGTTACCACTTCTCAGGACTAAGATGGAATACCTTACAGCTTGTAACTATACTGGTCCTCTATACCCTTCAAGAACAGGGGAGAAAGTGCTGTGATTTTATTAGGTAAGAGTATATACCTGTCTAGATGGAATCTTACGCAGAAAAGGGACCGTACCAACTAGTTGGATTACATCTTGTTCAAACGATAATCGACACAGTTTTCTTATTTTCAGGCATTGCTTTGGCAAGTGAGAGCGGCCGCATCGTGGGTGGACAGCCGGCATTAATCGAAACCTACCCATCGCTTGTCCAAGTAGACTTCTACAACCACATCGGAGACATTTGGTCTCAGTCATGCGCTGCCAATATTCTTACTTCTATATTCGTTCTCTCTGCAGCTCACTGCTTTGATGGACCGTGAGGAATATTAATATTTTTATAAGAGTTATAATAATGTCCTCCAGACCACATTTGGGTTATGGCAGTCCAGGCCATTTGCGCAGTGTAGGATTATAGTGCTCAAGTGTATGCGCAAACACAGGTGTACTTACTATTCCCTCACTCTCATAGTCCGATGGGACGGCAAACCGACACGGCAGGAGAGAGATCAGGCGCAGGACCACCGGATGTACGTCCTTTCCGAGACACGGGGGTAAAACAGAACCAACTTCGTGACTCCGGGCAGCTACTGAGAATTTCTTGACGGACAAACTCATTAACTCATTTTTTGGCCCGACTTGGGATGCGAACCCAGGACCTCACGATCAACAGAGATGTTTACGACTTCTACACTACCGATGCAGGTAAGTATTTTATTAGATTTTCATTAGAGTAACTAACAGTTAACCTTATGGTAAGTGACTCACACTCAGTCGTACTTCCAGGTAGAAGACGAGCCGTTAGTATCTAGTGAAAATATTTCCTGCAAAAAAGTTAACGCTATCACTTCAGCCAATTAAAAAGTTCACTGCTGAACGTAGCTTCCCCCACGAATCATTTGTAGCCATGCTTGGAAAGCGGGTTGGAGACTGAAGTTTTTCATTTTCTAGTTTTTATTACGAAGATGTTCCTGCCCATCTCCTGGTTTGTTTTCCTCTGTCGTCCTTTACAACACATACGGTGCGATATACCACTTCACGCTATATTTGTGGCCTCTTATGACACGCAGGAAGTTAATGGAAGCAGGTGGTCAGCAGTGAACTTGTGACGGGCTGTAATGATGTTAATGATGCCACCCAAAGGACAAAGCGGAGTGATGGCTTCTCGGTCAGAAAACATTCACGTCATCTATTGCTAATGTTAAATTATGCTTTAATTGTTTCCAGCTTGTATACAGCACGATGGCGACGCATCAGAGCTGGTTCCACCGATCGCAACTTAGGTGGCGTTCTGGCCTACGTTGTACTAAGATACAATCACCCCAACTACGGAAAATTGGGTCTAGACAGCGATATATCCATGGTTAGGCTACAAACACCCCTAATATACACACCAGTGATACAGCAGGGTACAATCATCGCACAGGGCGCGGTGATCCCAGATAACGTCCCAGTGGTGCATGCTGGTTGGGGCGCAACTTCGGTAGGATATTTTCAAGCAATCTTATTATATATGTATATATATATATATATATATATATATATATATATATATATATATATAAATATATATATATATCACGGTCAAAATTCAAAGTATGGAATTCTAGGTTACGCCGGCTAGAATTAGATGCTGTCAATTGCGGCTGCCAAAATGAAAAATGTTTGTTGAAAAAGAACTGAAATATACTACAGTCGGTACTGACTGTAACCATTACAGCCTATCAACAGTTCATTGCTGAATAATTATAACCATTACCCAGATGTTGCCCCATAAAGTGATATTTGCTGTAGCTACAACGCTTGTCAGGCTGGTTGGCAATTGCAGTTTTTTATGGTTGTTTTTTTTTTATTGAATAAGGATGACAAACGAGCACACAGTTTACCTGATGGTAAGTGGTTGCTGTGGCCCATAGACATCTACAACTATCTCCAATTACGAATAAGATGCAGATGCGTTGTCACCAATGAGGACTAAGTTGGAATGCCTCGTTTCCAGTAAAACGGTTATCGGGTTCTCTACAATCACCATACGAAACACAGCAGTGTTAAGCCGAGCCGACCCATTCGTGCTACAACTGTACTACTAAAATAGCTGCAGCATGGCGCTACCACGTAACACGTTGTTATTAGCAAGACGCTGCTGCCTATCTCCTGGTTTCTTTTTCCTAATTTGTTTTTCTGTCTCCTCTTATGGTACCCACAGGACAATATGGGATAGTAGACACTACACGGTTAATTGTAGTGCATACTCCTTTGCCCGCGTCAGTAGGTTAATAACTGTGACATCATTTAAATTTGTCAAAAATGCCAAAGCACATATCAAGTAATATCAGCGTCAATAAATTAAAATGTGACCCAAGGACCACATCAAAACCCCAGATAATAATATTATTTAATGATCTCTTAATCTATGGCGGTGGTGTGGTGGTGTGTGGGTGGGATCTATTAATAGATCCATTTAGTATTAAAGTGACAATCAAGACAATTTTTTTTTATAAGTTTTTCGATTTCACAAAAACACTTCAAGTTTTTCTGTTATAATATAATCTAGATGACTCCTGACATTACTTTCTATCTGTTCGAGAAGTTTCATCAATTCAATTCAATCGGTTAAGTCATTTCGAAGATTAGCCCGAACAGACAGGCAAACAGAGATACAGAAGTCAATTACGGTGATTCCTACCAAGTTGGTCTATGTCCAACTGAGAATATTGTAAAGTAGTTCAACTAATATATAACTAAACTTTTGCCAACAGCAAGGAGGCATTGCATCTAACGTACTTCTCGACACCACTATCTACACAATAAATAACGCAGTCTGCGCCGAACGTTACCGCACCCTTCCTCAACCCGCAATAGTCACAGAAAACATGATTTGCGCTGGCCTTCTGGACGTTGGAGGGCGCGACGCTTGCCAAGGTGACTCCGGTGGTCCCCTTTACTACGGCGACATCATCGTTGGTATCGTCTCCTGGGGTCATGGCTGCGCTAACGCCACCTTCCCTGGTGTCAGCACCGCAGTCGCTCCGTACTCAGACTGGATTGTATGGATCGCTTCTTAAATCGGTTATTGTACAAGTTTTTAAAGATTTAATAAAATGCCAATTTTTATCTGGTTTTAATTGGAAATTGTTTTAATGATACGTTGTCATCTGTAAAATAGCGACATCTATGGTAAATCTAATATTTAGGGAATCTAAAGTGCTTACAGTACGGCAATTATATATATTGTCTACAATTTTAAAATAACACACTTGCACTGAGTTCACACCTAATTTAATACAAATCAGGAGAAGAAATTATGAGGTATGCGAAACGATACAAGCAAAATCTACTTTCGCGCAAAAGTTTTGTGGGTACAAAATGGGCAGGTAATATAATAAAATTAATAGACAACACTCAATTTTTCAACTAACAAAATATAAATGTAAAAAAAAGTTAACAGATTGGCTTATGAAATTAGATTACGAAGAAACAGAGAATTTACTGAAATAGCGGAATAGTGAGATAGAACACACACACACACACACACACACACACACACACACACACACACACACACACACACACACACACACACACACACACACACACACACACACACACACACACACACATTCATGTGTGATATGTATACGTATATGCTTTTATATAACATTTTGATTATATACTTCAATTTTAAACATATTGCATGCTATACTGCCATCGTAAGAAAAAAGGGCACAACTAACATTTTTTTAAAAATTGAGTTATATACATATTTAGAATCAGAAAAAAAAGGCACATCTGCTCAATTTTTTGTAGAATTTTATCTTCAAGGAATTCGGAGATACAGTAGGCTCAAAAGGCACAAATGAGACTTATATTCATTTTTTATAGAATGAAAAGGCACATTTATTTACCATTATATTGAAAAGGCACAAATACGTAGATGTGATTATTACTTCATACAGATTTTTACTAAAAACTACTTTGAAAAGGCACACCTACAACGTAACATAAAGAAAAGGCTCAAATGCCAGATGTGCCTTGTCTACTTAATTAATGATCCATGTATGTCTCAATTAATTTACGTTTAAAAGGCACAAATAACCAGTTGTGCCTTTTCTTTAAATTATTTACGATTAGGGGTGAGGAAAGGAGGGCAGGGTTTGATTGAAACGCGCCAGTTGTCCTGCGACGTCGAAGACTCCACGCTTGTCAGCAGCCTGCCCGCGCTAGGTAAGTTTATTTAAGTTTTATCCATGTTTACATGTTGTTTCTAATTCAAGTAGATAGGTACATAACTTTGTAGGTTAGGTCGTACACCTAGGTAATCTCAACAGTTACCTGTCGGTTTCTAGACAGATGTGTCGAACAAAACCACGGTAATATTATTATTATCTAACTATGTCTACACCCGGAGGTCGAGGTGCGTAGGCATAGCCCGCGCTTCGTCCGTTTGTATGAAGTTGGAATTGTATTTGATAATGTTACCGTGCTTTAGCTTAACACCTATGTGACATGTCATAATATTTAATGAATTAAGTAGGAATATGATAAACATATATTATCATTCATTTCACTTGTTTTTCCCTTATTTCAGATAATTTTAAAAATGCAGTCACGTGGTAAAAGATTAGTAAGTGCCGCTTTACAAAATCTAAAGCTTAGATCTGATATTGACGAACAGATTCCGTCCACTAGTGGTCCACAAAACTGGTCGCCACAAATTCTAGTATCAGAGTCAGATTTTGATTCAGACGATTCAGTAGCCGATAAAGATTATGAGCCACGAAAAAACCACAAAGCGTACATTATTGCCGCTCAATGCTCAAAACAATCAGTGGTTAAAAACTTAAATATGAGGGGTCATAATGAAAACTATGAACGACGTGAAGCCAATATTTTATTGGATGATTCTGGCTCCGAATCAGACGTCATTCCATGTTCTCAACCGTGTTTCGAAAAAACGATTCAAGAATCTTCAGATGAATCTACAAAAGATGAACTTACAAAAAAAGGGACAGTAAGAAAGCGCAAAAGATATGATGTTCCTACTTAGTATATTTAGTCAATTCCACGGTTGTAAATATTGAATGTGTTGTGCTGCGTTATCTGGAAGTTGGTCATACTTTTATGGCTGCCGATGAATTTCACCATAGAGTGGAGCAATCACTTAAGAAGAACAAGCGAGTGTATGACTTTGAAAATTTTTGCAAAGCTGTCGCTGATACTGGTTCAAATACTGTGGTGAAAAAAATGACAGTCCAGGATTTTCACGATTTTGAAGACTGCTCTTCGTCATATAAATTACAACATTCTGTGCCGCGAGCTTATTTGAGAAACATGTCTGAAATCACTTTTCGGCGTGGGAGCAATTCGATGTTCTACAAGAACAGCCATGACACTGAAGAGCAAATAGAATTGGATTTCTGGAGAATTAAAAATCTTAAAATTGGCATTCCATTGCCTAAGCAGAAGCTTTTTCCACGAGGTATAACACCTGAGAGGAAATCAGCTATACTTTCCAAGCTTGGGCCACTCATGCCTGACAACAGAAGAGGTTTTTGGGAAACCCTACCCGTTAACGATAGTTCAGCTGATCTCACAGAAATTTATGAAGACTGAAATAAAAGACTATTTTTTAAATTAATATTTTAAGCAAAACTGATTATTTAATTTTCTTTATACTTTTTTATAGTTATTACCAAATATATTGCATTGTGATAATTCAACCAAGTGCCATGTTATGTTTGTTATAGATACAATTAATTTTTATAATAATAATAATCGTATTTTTAAAAATATTAAACTACGAGTGCCTTTAATAATTACGGGTGTAAGCTATTTCCTGTAAATGAACAATAAATAATTAGAATAAGCTCTAATAGAGTATAAGCTACACTATTAGAGCTTATTCTAATTATTAATTGTTTTTTTATAATTATATAAAAGTTCAAAACCAAAATTTATGCTCCTAATTACTACCTCTATTAAAAATTAAGAATATTTTGATTTATTTTTCATATTGTGATTTAGAGTAACTATTTTTTATAGATTTTTAAGTTAGGGTCCAACCTATTAGTAAAAAGAATAAAAGTAATTAATTTTTACTTTCCTTAGGTTTCAAACTAAACAAAAAGTGTAATTGAGTTTAAGTATTAGCACTTTTTGTTTCTAATTAATAAGTTCTATTTGTTAACCAAAATTGTATGTAGATCCTTATCCCTAATAATTTATAAATAACTATTGAATATTAAGAACGTTTTTTTTTTTGTTTAAATGTTGGTGTCCTAGAAGAAGATTTGTTAAGTTTTGTTTCAATTATTTGGATAAGCTAACCAGAAATGGCATGATAATATTATAAATATGTTTTATAGTTTATTAAACTTTCTTCACATGATTATTTGTTTTTTTTTTTTGTAGAAAACATTAAGTAAATTTACACTAAAAAAGGCGCAATTAGATAAATGTGCCCTTTCTTTTAGACTCAATGACCAATTTGCTTGAAATATTAAAAAGAAAGGTCACATTTGGTTAACTATGCCTTTTCTTTGTAGTAAGTGGTATTTTTTAAAATATTTTTTTTTAAGTTGAAAGGATTTTTTTGAATTTATTTAATAATTAATTATATATAAAAATTAAAAAGTTAATAATATAATAGTACTAACCTTCACACATATATCATCAGTATTTTTTTTCTTTTAAGCGATAGTTTTCCACACTATGAAGCAGAATATGGTAAAAACTTTAATCCCAATTATCTCAGTTTGACCAAAATGATAGATGTGCCCTTCTCTCGTACGACGGCAGTATATATAATCAATATGCCTTTTATTGTTATTTACACCTAAGAAATCTTATATACGATCTTCACAGGCAACGCTCACTTCATGTCTAGGTATATATTCATCGAATTGTAATAAAGCCAAGAGGGGGAACCAGGAGACCCATAGCACAGGGTTACCTAGTTTGGGCTCCTGTCTCCCACAACAACTTAAAACTCTTAAACTATTTATGTAAGAAATGAAACTGTATAAAAAGTGGGAGAAATAAATAAATATTATTATTATTATTATGGGGTATTTGTATAGTTTTCTCATCTGGTTGGGCTGTATAAATATATAATTGTAGATGAAAATGATAAACTTACATAAATATCAATAAAATAAAATAAATACATAAAAATTACATAAATATATAAAAACCCAACCAGATGGAAGCCCTCGGCAGGGGAGACCAAACGGCCGAGGGTTAGGGGGAAAGGGAAAGAAACCGGCATTTATTTTAAAAAAATAGTCCCACTGGGTTTCTTGCTGGTTCTTCCCAGGACAGAGGGTTTTTTTTCGAACCAGTGGTAAAGTAAAAAATGACTTACAATATGAATTACATATCTAATGTATATTGAATAAAAAAATATTCTATTCTATTCTATCGTCAGTGCTAATAATACAATGTTTTTATTTTGGATAAATTAAAGTAAAAATTACTATTTGATTAAAAATTATTATTATTACTTGCACGAGTACCATATTAGCAAAATCTATAGTGTTAATATAACACCTCTTCAATTGCTTCTATTCATGACCTGGTATTCCAACATGTGTAGGAATTATTTTATTTGAAAGCACACTTTATTAAAAGTATTAAGCCAGGTACTAAATATTTCTAAAAATAAATGTTAAATACTCATTATATTACTACACTAAAAAGAGTGTCAAAATTATACCCACGAATTAAACCATACCATAGTAAAAGTATTGCGGCTACACAGCCTACCGTAAAAATTCATAACTCTAGTAATACTAATGACACAAATATTTTCCATTTTTTTTGGAGATAATTTACAATCATCATCGTAATGTCGTTAAACCAGTTAAACAAGTCGTAAAAAGAATTCCTAGAGGTGCGAGGATGCGACTTGTTAAATCATTGTCTTGCAATATTCAAAATTATTGCACTCATAGTGAAAAGAGTTGGCAAAAATTATTTACTTTCGCGTATTCCCATTTTCATTTTGATAAAACAATAAATAAATTAATCACATCTCAATCAGAGACGTCTTTTCAAAATTTAGATT